ATTAAGGGTGCGGCCTCAATTAACGATCGGATCCCAATTAACGATCGGATCCCAATTAAGGATCGGATCCCAATTAAGGATGAGGGGGGTGGGCCGTGCCAAAAAGGCGAGGGGGTTTTGGGGGGTTTTGGGTTTTTTTTTGGGGGGGTCCCGGTACCTTTGAAGCAGGTGATGAAGTTCTTGACTTTGGTGTCGTCCAGGAAAAGCTGCGGAAAAGTGGGAAAAAGCCTCAAAACTGTACCCCCCCCCACCCCGGCAGGTCCAGGATCTGCCTGGGATCCTTTTGGGATCCACCCAGGATCTGTCCGGAGCCCATCTGGGTGTTTTTTCTTTTTTTGGGGATCTGTCTGGACCCAGCCCGGGATCCCTCTGTGGGATCTGTCTCAGGTTGGTTTGGGGTCTGTCTTGGGTCTGTCCAAGATTTGTCTGGGATCTGTCTCGGGTCCACGTGGGTTCTCTTTGGGATCTGTCTGGGATCTGTCCTGGGTGTGACCAGAATCTGTCTGGGATCTGTCCTGGGTGTTACTGGGATCTGTCTGGGATCTGTGCTAGGTGTGACCAGGATCTGTCTGGGGTGTGACTGGGATCTGTCCTGGGTCTATCTGGGATCTGCCTGGGGTGTAGCTGGGATCTGTCAGAGATCTGTCCTAGTTGTTACTGGGGTCTGTCCTGGGATCTGTCCTGGGTCTATCTGGGATCTGTCTGGGATTTGTCCTGGGTCTGTCTGGGATCTGTCCTGGGTGTTACCGGGATCTGTCCTGGGTCTGTCTGGGACCTGCCTGGGGTGTAGCTGGGATCTGTCCGGGATCTGTCTGGCATCTGTCCTGGATGTGTCCAGGATCTGCCTGGGATCTGTCCTGGGTCTGTCTGGGATCTGCCCGGAGTGTAGCTGGGACCTGTCCGGGATCTGTCCGGGATCTGACCGGGGTCCGTCTGGGATCTGTCCTGGGTGTTACTGGGATCTGTCTGGGATCTGTCCTGGGTCTGTCTGGGATCTGTCCTGGGGTGTAGCTGGGATCTGCCCGGGATCTGTCCTGGGTCTGTCTGGGATTTGCCCAGGGTGTAGCTGGGATCTGTCCGGGATCTGTCTGGGATCTGCCCGGGATCTGTCCTGGGTGTTACTGGGATCTGTCTCGGATCTGTCCTGGGTGTGACCGGGATCTGTCCTGGGTCTGTCTGGGATCTGTCCTGGGGTGTAGCTGGGATCTGCCCGGGATCTGTCCTGGGTCTGTCTGGGATCTGCCCAGGGTGTAGCTGGGATCTGTCCGGGATCTGCCCGGGATCTGTCCTGGGTCCGCCTGGGATCTGTCTGGGATCTGTCCTGGGTGTGACCGGGATCTGTCCTGGGTCTGTCTGGGATCTGTCCTGGGGTGTAGCTGGGATCTGACCGGGATCTGCCCTGGGTCCGCCTGGGATCTGTCCTGGGTGTTACTGGGATCTGTCTGGGATCTGTCCTGGGTCTGTCTGGGATCTGTCCTGGGGTGTAGCTGGGATCTGCCCGGGATCTGTCCTGGGTCCGCCTGGGATCTGTCCTGGGTGTTACTGGGATCTGTCTCGGATCTGTCCTGGGTGTGACCGGGATCTGTCCTGGGTCTGTCTGGGATCTGTCCTGGGGTGTAGCTGGGATCTGCCCGGGATCTGTCCTGGGTCTGTCTGGGATCTGCCCAGGGTGTAGCTGGGATCTGTCCGGGATCTGCCTGGGATCTGCCCTGGGTCCGCCTGGGATCTGTCTGGGATCTGTCCTGGGTGTGACCGGGATCTGTCCTGGGTCCGTCTGGGATCTGTCCTGGGGTGTAGCTGGGATCTGACCGGGATCTGCCCTGGGTCCGCCTGGGATCTGTCCTGGGTGTTACTGGGATCTGTCCGGGATCTGTCCTGGGATCTGTCCTGGGTCCGCCTGGGATCTGTCCTGGGTGTAGCTGGGATCTGCCCGGGATCTGTCCTGGGTGTGACCGGGCTCTCTCCGGGCTCTCTCCCCCCCCGGTTCCCCCCCGGGGCCGGTACCTGCCCTTGGTGGTCGATGTAGTAGAAATACTCGCGGGTGCGCGGCCCCGGGCGCTGCCCCTGCCGGTACCCGGCCCCGAGCCGCAGCGCGGGCGGCAGCCGCATCCCGGGACCGACAGACACCGACCGACGGACCGGGACCGACAGACACCGACCGACGGACCGGGACCGACAGACACCGACCGACGGACCGGGACGGACCGACCCCGACTGCCGGACCGGCGGGCACCGGAAGCGGCAGCGGCCCGGGCCGGTCCGTCGGTGACACCGCTCCGGGCGGAGCCTGGGCCCGCCCCGGGGGGGCCGGGGGGGCGCGGGACCCGCTCCTATAGACCCGTATAGATACCCCTACAGACCCAGAGACACCCACCCCCCTTATAGACAGGCACCCCTATACCCCCCCAGACACCCACCCCCCTATAGACAGGCACCCCTATACCCCCCAGACACCCCTATACCCCCCAGACACCCACCCCCCTATAGACAGGCACCCCTATACCCCCCAGACACCCACCCCCCTATAGACAGGCACCCCTATACCCCCCAGACACCCACCCCCCTATAGACAGGCACCCCTATACCCCCTCCAGACACCCACCCCCCTATAGACAGGCACCCCTATACCCCCCAGACACCCACCCCCCTATAGACAGGCACCCCCAGAGCACCCCTATAGACACCCGTATACCCACACCACCTATAGGCAGACACCCCTGGGCACCCCCAGGCACCCCTATAGCTGCCCACATCCCCTATAGGCACCCACACCCCCCTGGGCACTCCTATAGACACCCCTGCACCCCTTTTAGGCACCTATGTACCTCTCTAGGCACTCAATCCCCTATAGCTAGACACCCATGCCCCCCTGGGCACCCCTATAGGCACCCACCTGGCCCTATAGACACTCGTGTACCCCTGCAGCCCCACATCCACCCCTATAGGCACCCATACCATCCCTGCACACCCACCCTGCCATATAGATGCCCATACTCCCTATAGATAGCTGTGCCCCCCTATCTGCACCCACCTGCCCTTATAGACACCCCTACCCCCTACAGACCCCCACCCACCCCTATAGACACCCATAGCCCCTACAGCTACCCAGCCACCTCTATACACGCCCACACCCCCCTATAGACACCCAGCCACCCCTACCCACCACATGCCCCTATAGACACCCCTCATGCCCCTATAGACACCCCTCATACCCCTATAGACACCCTATAGATCCCCCCCACACACATGTGCACCCCTCTACACCCCCCATAGCCATGCCCACACCCCTACAGAGACTCATGAGCCCCTATACACACGCATACCCACCTGTATGCCCCTATAGACACCCATATACCCCTATATCCACCCACATGCCCCCCTGTGTACCCCTATACGCCCATACCCTCCTTGTGCCCCTCCCCTCCACCCCCCTATAGAAACTCTCTGTGTGCCCCGAGCTCCCTTATACACCCCTCTATACATCCCTGTGTAGCTTTATGTACCCCTATACACACCCTGGCCAGAGCCTATGCAGTTTTCTGTACCCCTATATACCGCCGTGCTCCCCCATCTCGTCCTGTGCACTCCCTATACACCCCCCCCTTCGCCCTCTATACGCCTCCCAGCACCCCCTATAGACCCTGTGCACCCCACATACACCCCGTGTGCATCCCTACGGCCCCAGGGCGGTATGTATACATCCCATACGCTCCCGGGACGGGGCGGGGGGGGGGGGGGATGTACACACCCTATACTGCCTGGTGACCTGATGCTGCTTGCAGGTGGAGCCCTATACATGATCTATACGGCCTGCATGGTGGGGGGGCATGACCATATAAACCCCTATAGAAGCTGTATGGCGTGGGGGGTCTTCCCTATACAGCCTGTGTGCTGGGGGATGAGCATATACACCCCTATAGAAGCTATAGGGTGTGGGTGGGGCTTCCCTATATGGCCTGCATGGTGGGGGATGACCATATACACCCCTATAGAAGCTATAGGGTGTGGGTGGGGCTTCCCTATATGGCCTGCATGGTAGGGGATGACCATATACACCCCTATAGAAGCTATAGGGTGTGGGTGGGGCTTGTACAGACCCCTATACATCCCTGGCCACCCCCTGGGGTGCAGCGGGGCCCTTACACCACTCCACACCCCCCCCCCCCAAGCCCCTATAGGGGCCTCCCAGCCCTCATTCCGCTCCAGAGTGAACGCGCCGCAGGGCAGCACTGGCCATACGTAGCTTTATTCACACACTGGGGCGGCGCCTCTATACGTCCACGCGCCCCAATTACAGAGTTCGGCACCCACGGGACCCCCCCCCCCCACACCCTCCCCCCCTCCCCCTGTGCCCCCCCACACTCGGGGGAGGGTCCCGCAGCAGCTGGGGGGGGAGGAGGTGTGGGGGGGTTTTAGTCCCTTTTTTTTTTCTTTTTTTGTGTGTGTTTTAGTGTTTTTTTTTTTTTTTTTCTTCTAATAATTTTTCTCCTTTTTCATAATAAATAAAACCTTGAGTTTTAATAAAAAAAAAATCAAAAAAAAGAAAAAAAAAAAGAAAAAAAAAAACAAAAAAAGGACGGGGGGGTGGGGGAGGAAGGGAAAAAGAGAAAAAAAAAAAAATGAAAGAAAGAAAAAATGAAGATAAAAATCCTGGAGGGAAAAATGAAACAGGAGTCGAGGAAGTGGAGACCCCCCCCCCTCTCCCCCCCCCCGGCGCCTGGCAGTGAGCAGAGCTGGGAGGTAGCGCTGGGTGCCCCCCACCCCGGGGACCCCCCCCACTCGTGGGACCCCCCTCCCTCCCCCCCCCCCACGAGAAAATAGCATCTGCCTTGAAAATTAGGGGGCTCTAATTAATAACTCTCTTTATAGATCTATATACTCTGATGGGTGTGTCCCCCCCCCGCCTCCCCCCACGGTGGGTGCTGCCCCCCCCCACCCAGTGGGTGCCCCTTGGGTGCCCCCCACGGTCCCGCCTGGCCCCGAAGGCACTTGGGGGGGGGGGGGCCGTGGGGGGGGAGGGGGCACCTCCTCCTGCTGCCGGGGGGACCCCTGGGCTCCAGTGGGGGAGATGGGGGGGGGGGGGCGAGGATGAGGGTGCTGAGGTGGGAGCAGGAGATGATGGGTGCCAAGATAAGTTGGGTGAGACCAGGAGATGATGGGTGCCAAGGTGGGACCAGGAGAACCAGGAGATGGGTGCCAAGGTGGGACCAGGAGATGATGGGTGCCAAGATAAGTTGGGTGAGACCAGGAGATGATGGGTGCCAAGGTGGGACCAGGAGAACCAGGAGATGGGTGCCAAGATGGGACCAGAACCAGATGATGGGTGCCAAGATGGGACCAGGAGAACCAGGAGATGGGTGCCAAGATGGGACCAGGAGATGATGGGTGCCAAGATAAGTTGGGTAAGACCAAAAGATGATGGGTGCCAAGGTGGGACCAGGAGATGATGGGTGCCAAGGTGGGACCAGGAGAACCAGGAGATGGGTGCCAAGGTGGGACCAGGAGATGATGGGTGCCAAGGTGGGACCAGGAGAACCAGGAGATGGGTGCCAAGGTGGGACCAGGAGATGATGGGTGCCAAGGTGGGACCAGGAGAACCAGATGATGAGCACCAAGATGGGTTGGGCAGGACCAGGAGATGATGGGTGCCAAGGTGGGACCAGGAGATGATGGGTGCCAAGGTGGGACCAAGAGATGATGGGTGCCAAGATGGGACCAGAACCAGATGATGGGTGCCAAGATGGGACCGGGAGAACCAGGAGATGGGTGTCAAGGTGGGACCAGGAGAACCAGGAGATGGGTGCCAAGGTGGGACCAGGAGAACCAGATGATGGGTGCCAAGATGGGACCAGGAGAACCAGGAGATGGGTGCCAAGGTGGGACCAGGAGATGATGGGTGCCAAGATAAGTTGGGTAAGACCAAAAGATGATGGGTGCCAAGGTGGGACCAGGAGAACCAGATGATGGGTGCCAAGGTGGGACCAGGAGAACCAGGAGATGATGGGTGCCAAGATGGGACCAGGAGAACCAGGAGATGATGGGTGCCAAGGTGGGACCAGGAGATGATGGGTGCCAAGATAAGTTGGGTAAGACCAAGAGATGATGGGTGCCAAGGTGGGACCAGGAGATGATGGGTGCCAAGATAAGTTGGGTAAGACCAAGAGATGATGGGTGCCAAGATGGGACCAGGAGAACCAGGAGATGGGTGCCAAGGTGGGACCAGGAGAACCAGGAGATGGGTGCCAAGGTGGGACCAGGAGATGATGGGTGCCAAGATGGGACCAAGAGATGATGGGTGCCAAGATGGGACCAGAACCAGATGATGGGTGCCAAGATGGGACCAGGAGAACCAGGAGATGGGTGTCAAGGTGGGACCAGGAGAACCAGGAGATGGGTGCCAAGGTGGGACCAGGAGATGATGGGTGCCAAGATAAGTTGGGTAAGACCAAGAGATGATGGGTGCCAAGATGGGACCAGGAGAACCAGGAGATGGGTGCCAAGGTGGGACCAGGAGAACCAGGAGATGGGTGCCAAGGTGGGACCAGGAGAACCAGGAGATGATGGGTGCCAAGATGGGACCAGGAGATGATGGGTGCCAAGATAAGTTGGGTAAGACCAAGAGATGATGGGTGCCAAGGTGGGACCAGGAGATGATGGGTGCCAAGGTGGGACCAGGAGAACCAGATGATGAGCACCAAGATGGGTTGGGCAGGACCGGGAGGAAACAACAGGCACCAAGATGGGTGGAGGAGAAGCAGGAGATGATGGGTGCCAAGGTGGGTCCAACCAGCCCAAGATGATGACGGGCATCGAGATTGTTTGGGTAGGACCAGGAGGGGACGATGGGCACCAAGATGGTTTGGGCAGAAGCAGGAGAAGAAGATGATGGGTTCCAAGATGGGTTGGGTGGAATTGGGAGGAGATAACAAGTGTCCAGCTGGGCCAAGCAGAGATGACGGACACCAGGCCGGGTTGGGCAGAACCAGGAGGAGATGACGGGCTCCAAGGTGGGTCCAGGAGGACCAGTGGGACATGATCGACGCCAAGATGTGTCCAGCAGGGTAAAGTAGAGATGATGGGCACCAACCCAAGTTCAGCAGGAGCAGGAGGAGATGACGGATGCCAAGATGGGTCCAGGAGAATCAGGAGAAGACGATGGGCACCAAGATGAGTCCAGCACGAGCAGGAGGAGATGATGGGTACCAAGATGTTTTGGGCAGGACCAAGCAGAAATGACGGGCATCAAGATGGTTCCAGGAGAACCAGGAAATGATGAGTGCCTAGATGGTTCCGGCAGGACCAGGACATGAGAGATGCCAAGATGGGTCCAGCAGGCCCCAAGCAGAGATGATGGGCACAAAGACGAGTTGGCCAGCACCAGGAGGAGATGATGGGCATGAAGATGGGTCCAGAGAAGCAGGAGGAGGTGATGGATCCAGCAGGAGCAGGAGGACATGACAGGTGCCACGACGAGTTGGGCAGGACCAGGAGGTGATGACAAGTGCCAAGGTGGGTCCAGCAGGACCAGGAGGAGGAGATGGACACCAAGGTGGGTCCGGGAGGACCAGGCAGGGGTTATGGGTGCCAAGATGAGTCCAGCAGGACCAGGAGGAGGAGATGGACACCAAGGTGGGTCCGGGAGGACCAGGCAGGGGTTATGGGTGCCAAGATGAGTCCAGCAGGACCAGGAGGAGATGATGGACACCAAGGTGGGTCCGGGAGGACCAGGCAGGGGTTATGGGTGCCAAGATGAGTCCAGCAGGACCAGGAGGAGGAGATGGACACCAAGGTGGGTCCGGGAGGACCAGGCAGGGGTTATGGGTGCCAAGATGAGTCCAGCAGGACCAGGAGGAGATGATGGACACCAAGGTGGGTCCGGGAGGACCAGGCAGGGGTTATGGGTGCCAAGATGAGTCCAGCAGGACCAGGAGGAGGAGATGGACACCAAGGTGGGTCCGGGAGGACCAGGCAGGGGTTATGGGTGCCAAGATGAGTCCAGCAGGACCAGGAGGAGATGATGGACACCAAGGTGGGTCCAAGAGGACCAAGCCAAGATGAGTCCAGCAGATCCAGGCAGAGATGATGGGTGGCAGGATGGGTCCTTCAAGGCCAGGAGCAGACGCCGGGTCCTGCGCTGGGTCCAGCAGGGCCAAGCAGACGTGGTGGGCGCCGAGACAGGACCTTTGGGGCGCGCCCCCCCCACCCCCCCCAGCACCCATCCCCCTGGGTGCACCCCGAGCTGCACCCCGGTTGTGCCGCCGTCTCCTTCCCTGCGGGGTGGGGACACTTGTCACTCAGGTCGTTGACGTGCCACGTTCTCCGGGCGCTCGGCGCAGCGCCGGTGGCTTCTCCTGGTCCATTCCCCCCTCGCCCCCCCCCGGAGGTTCTCCCCGCCCCACGGCCGCCCCACGGCTCTGCTCTCAGCCAGACACCCGACCCCAAATGAAGATGTTGGGGGGGGGGGGAACCCGTTTGATGCCTCCCCGCCCGTCACCCATGGCCACGCAGGACTGGAAACGTCACCCGTCCCCAGGGATGCTCCTCGCCTTGCTCTGTGGGTGCCACCATCCCCCGGGGACCCCCGAAACGGCCGATCCCCCCTGTTCCACACACCCCACACTCCCCCCCCCCCCCCCCCGCCCCCGGAGAGGTGGGCAGTGAGATGGCTGGAAGGTCGGGCCGGGACACCAGGAACGGTCCCCGTGTCCTGGAGCAGGATGGGCAGGGTGCCACCAGCACCCTCCTTCCGCGGGGTCCAGCTTGTGCTCCTCGGCCGGGGGAAAGGGCGGGGGGGGGCTCATTGAGGGGGGGGTGGGGGGAGATTTGAGGAGGGGGTGACACACACACACACACGCGCGCGTCGGCGGCTGCTATAGGACGCCCTCCATGAAGCTGGTGTCGAGGTGCTGGATGAGCACCCGGATGAAGGACATCTCCTTGCGGGTGTTCTCGAAGATGATCCGCGGGTCGTCCGACTGGCAGCGCAGGCAGTTGGGGGCCATCACCATGGCCAGGTTATTGACGTCCATCTTGGTGACGGCCACGTTGGCCGGCTGCACGAACACCTGGGGCGGGAGGAGGAAGGTGGGGGGGGGGGGCGATGGGGCGGGGTGGGGGGCACCCCCTGGGGAACCCTACAGCAACGTGGGGGAACCCAACGCCACCTCGAGAGGGGCAAGCGGACTGGGAGGGGAGGGGTGTGGGTGGGGGGGGGGGAGTGGGTTCTCCTCCGTACCTGGAGGAAGCGGATGAGGTAGCACAGCACCGTTTTGTTGATCCTGGGCAGAGAGTGGACGACAGCGATGGCCGCCTCGGGGTTCTCGTAGTGGGTGATGCACTGCTCGTAAAACTCGTGGGGGATCAGCGGTTCCTCCAGCTCCCGGTACCAGAGCTTCAGCAGGGAGGCTGGTGGAGGCGGGGGGGGGGGGGAGACAGAGAAGACGGGGAGACGTGAGCCGTGGCGGATGGAAGACCTGATTCTGCGCCCCACACAACGCCCCGGGGTCCTACCGGGAACGTGGGGGTCCTCCAAGCCCGTGGGGATCTTCCACTGGTCCACCTGCAGCTTGAGGGCGTTCACCTCGTCGATGTCACCGGGGACTCTGCAGGGGGGAAGGGAACGTCCGTAACCCAATAAGAGATGGGGACCCACCTGCCTCACAGCCCTCCTGGGGTTCGGGGGGGTGTCCCCCTGGGTGCATGAAGGGCTCAAGGAGAGCCAAGAGGGGACATCAGCTGGGGACGGAGCCATCTGGGGACCTGGTTGCTGCCCCACAGGGATGTGCTGTGATGGGGGGGGGGGGGTTGCTGCATGAAGACCTGATGGGCGTCAAAAAACAGGCGTGACCCGGTTGCGGAGGAAACCCCCATGGCCATGGGAGCGAGGAGAAGTTGCCCTCTGCCCCACGGGAGGAGAAAGGCCCCCATGGGGACACGGGGAAAGCTGGGGGGGGTGGGTGGTTGCCTCCTAATGCGGCTTCCCCCGGAAGGTCCAGGTTGTCACCAACCTTGGGAGAGGTCCTCTCGGCAGCCGTGGGGTGGCTTTACCTGAAGATGCCCTCGGTCTGGTCGCCGTTGAGGGCCAGGACCTCCTCGGAGAGGCGGGTCTGGACCCAGGGCAGCTGCCGGTCGGGGTACCGCTCCTTCTGCATGGTGATGATGTCCTGCAGGGAGCTGCCAAACATGGAAGGGTTGAAGACGGCGTTCTTGGCGTGGCGGATCTCCTCGATGTTTGGCTTCTTCAAGCCCTGCAAGAGACAAGAGAAGGCCGCCGGTGCCGTCAGGAGCTGTGGCCAGGGTGCGTCTCCCCCAACCCCCACCCCAACCCACCCAACCCGGGTGGGGATGTGGGGTCCTGCTCAATCCCAGCACCCCGCGGCCGAACGCTCCGGGGATGGTTGTGACCCGTCCAGAGCCTGAGCTCGTCGCGTGATGGGGGACAGTGGATGGAGCCATGAACTCCAGCCAACCCTGCCAAGGTCTCCAACAGCGCCGCGCACCGGCAGCTCGGTGCCGAAGCGCAACCGGTGGGCAGGTGCCTCCACCCACCATCTTGTTTCAAAAGCTTGGTAGGTGCTTGGTAGGACCCCCGTGTTCTGCTCTAGGGCCACGGCCACGTTGGAGCATCTACACCGACGAGCCACGTAGGGAGGAGGAGCCGCCGCTCTGGGATCCTTCCGGCGAGGAAAGCACCGGCACCGCGGTTGGTTTGTCCCTGCCTGCCCGAAGCGACGGCACCGGCACCGAATCCTGCGTGGCGAGGGGCCGGAGGAGACTTCTGGGTTCCTTCTCCAGATGGTGTGGTGGTTTGGTCACGGGAGGGCACTGCTGTGTGGTGGGATGAAGGGATGGACACAGCGGGCATGTGCGTGGTGGGACACAGAAGAGGAGATGGACACAGTGGATGTGTGTGTGGTGGGAGGCAGAAGAGATGGACACAGTGGACATGAGCGTGGTGGGAGGCAGAAGAGGAGGTGGACGCGGTGGACGTGGATGTGGTGGGAGGCAGAAGAAGAGTTGGACGTGGTGGACGTGTGCATGGTGGGAGGCAGAAGAGGAGGTGGACAGAGTGGATGTGTGGTGGGAGGCAGAAGAGATGGACAGAGTGGACATGAGTGTGGTGGGAGGCAGAAGAAGAGATGGACGTGGTGGATGTCTGCGTGGTGGGACGCAGAAGAGGAGGTGGACAGAGTGTATGTGTGGTGGGAGGCAGAAGAGGAGGTGGACGTGGTGGACATGGATGTGGTGGGAGGCAGAAGAAGAGATGGACACAGTGGTCATGAGTGTGGTGGGAGGCAGAAGAGGAGGTGGACGTGGTGGACGTGGATGTGGTGGGAGGCAGAAGAAGAGATGGACACAGTGGTCATGAGTGTGGTGGGAGGCAGAAGAGGAGGTGGACGTGGTGGACGTGGATGTGGTGGGAGGCAGAAGAAGAGATGGACACAGTGGTCATGAGTGTGGTGGGAGGCAGAAGAGGAGGTGGACAGAGTGGACGTGTGGTGGGAGGCAGAAGAGATGGACACAGTGGACATGAGCATGGTGGAAGGCAGAAGAGGAGGTTGACGTGGTGGACGTGGATGTGGTGGGAGGCAGAAGAGGAGATGGACGTGGTGGATGTCTGCGTGGTGGGACACAGAAGAGGAGGTGGACACAGTGGACCTGTGCGTGGTGGGAGGCAGAAGGGGAGATGGACGCGGTGGATGTGTGCGTGGTGGGAGGCAGAAGAGGAGGTGGACAGAGTGGATGTATGGTGGGAGGCAGAAGAGATGGACAGAGTGGACCTGTGCGTGGTGGGAAGCAGAAGAAGAGATGGACGTGGTGGATGTGTGCGTGGCGGGACGCAGAAGAGGAGGTGGATGCGGTGGACATGGATGTGGTGGGAGGCAGAAGAAGAGATGGACAGAGTGGTCATGAGTGTGGTGGGAGGCAGAATAGGAGATGGACAGAGTGGATGTGTGGTGGGAGGCAGAAGAGATGGACACAGTGGACATGAGTGTGGTGGGAAGCAGAAGAGGAGGTGGACGTGGTGGACGTGGATGTGGTGGGAGGCAGAAGAGGAGATGGACGTGGTGGATGTGTGCGTGGTGGGAGGCAGAAGAGGAGGTGGACAGAGTGGATGTGTGGTGGGAGGCAGAAGAGATGGACACAGTGGACATGAGTGTGGTGGGAAGCAGAAGAGGAGGTGGACGTGGTGGACGTGGATGTGGTGGGAGGCAGAAGAAGAGTTGGACGTGGTGGATGTGTGCGTGGCGGGAGGCAGAAGAGGAGATGGACACAGTGGATGTGTGCGTGGTGGGAAGAAGAAGATGAGGTGGACGCGGTGGACGTGGATGTGGTGGGATGAAGGGATGGGCGTGGTGGACACGTGTGTGGTGGGATGCAGAAGAGGGGGTGGACGCGGTGAACACGGGCGTGGTGGATCAGCGGCACATGGCCACCGATGAGCGCCTTGGTGAGCCTGGTGGGTGACGCATCCCCTCCCACCATGGGCCTCGTCTTGGCCGATGCTGCCGGGAGAAGATGAGCTGCCGTGGTGCAAGGAGGGGTCCCACCATCTCTTCTCTACCCCCATGAAACGAGGAGGAAGGGAAACTGAGGCAGCCGTGGTGGGGCCATGAAGAGCACCCCAGGCTGAAAATGAATCCCGATCTGGCGTATTCTGTGAAAGAAATCCAGCGATGGTGCCCAGGGTGGATCTGCCTCGGCGAGCCACCGTGGTGATGGTGACCACCCAAAGCCGGGGAGATGGAAGCTGCTGGAGCATCTTTTCCAATCCCTGGCGCGTTTTTTCTCCGGAGTTTTGCTCCCAGGATCCTTTCCTTAATCCCTGTTGGATCCCTTGGTCATGGGTAGGTTTGGGAAGGACGCAGGGGGACCCCGGAAGGTCCCCAGAGGGGACGCAGTGACGGATAAACCATGTCGGAGATTCCCTCAGCATCCTCACCACGGGTCCGGCACAACCTACCGCCCTATTTTCGGTGCTCTCCAGTCTCATCCCTCCTCCTCCTCCTCCAGACCCCATCCCCAAACCCCAGTAGCCCCCCGGGTGGTCCCGACTGGGTGTGTGGGGGGGTGGTGGCCACCCACCGCTGCCCGCCCCGTGCCCAACGCTTGGACGATACCTTCTTGGCTCCCGTCAGCGCTGCCTTCTGCAGCTTGTTGTAGCAGTACTTGGCGTAAGTGCTTATTGCCACCCCTGCAAGAGAAAACAAAGCGGGGGGGGGGGGGTTGGGGGGGCGGGTCACCTCTGGCTCATGGTGGGGTCCTGGGGGGGGGGGGCCTGTCCCCTTCCAGGGGTGGGGGTGAAGCTCATCCCAAGGCCAGGAGGACACCGAGGTCCCCCCGGGGGGATGGGGGGGGGGCAGCACCAGCGCTGCTCTATCTCTGTCCCTGTCACCGCTCCCGGGCTGGGGGGGGGGGGGAGGTTGAGGAGGACGAGGTGTCGTGTGTGTGTGTGTGTGTGTGTGTGTGTGTCCCCTCCTCCTCCTCCTCCCCCTCAACCCCCGGCCCCTTCTTGCAGGGAGGGTCCCCACAACTCAACCCGCTCCCCAAAGAGCCTCAAACTTTGGAGAAACCACGTCCTCGTACCCGCCAAACGCGGAGCCCCCGGCACCATCCGCGGCTCCGGCCTCTCCTCTGGCGGCCTCGTGCGGGGACGTCCCGGCTTTCGGGGTTCATTTTTCACCCCGCAGCCACCGCTTCCACCGTCACCACCCCCTCTTCTACAACGTCCACCCTCTCCTCCCGATGTGCTTCCACAAGGCGCCCTCAACCCTTGGAGCATCCCCGAGATGCCAGGGGGGCTCATCCCATGGGAGATGCTCCAACATCCCGCGGCCAAGAGCCGCCGGGGAGCTGGTGGTACCTTCTGGACCGCCCCAGAAGAAGCTGGCAGCCCCATAAATTCTTCCAAGAGCCTAAAAATAGGCAAACTGAACAACAACAACAACAACAACAACAACAACAAAAAAAAGTCCATCCCCTGGGACATTCTCTCCTTCAGTAGCTTTGAAACCACGCTGCCAGCACCGCCCCCACCGCCGGCGCGGCTTTTGTGCCACGTCCCGGCGCGTCCCAAACCCGTCAGTCAGGACAGTCCAGGAGCTAAAAATGTGCTTTTTGTATTTTAATATTGGGGCAAAAAAAAAGGGGAAAAGAGGGCTCCTGGAGAAGAGCCAGCGGCTGGCAGCTGCTCGCCGTCCCCACCCTCTGACGGGCACTTTTTGGTTAAAACCAAACTTGGGGACTTGGGTTCACCTACTTTTCCCGCCATCCCTGATGCCGTTGTCTTCAAAGGGTTTCTCTGATTTTTTTTTTTTTTTTTTTGGAGGGGCAGTAAATGCTCCGGGGGGGGGGGGGATGATGGATGTGTGTGTGGGGTCTAAAGACACCCCGAAGGAGAGAGCTTGGGGCTTGTCCAGGACCGGGTGACCTCAAATCTGGTGCCCATTCGTTGAACCATCGAATCATGGAACGGGTTGGGTTGGGAGGGACCTTTGGGGGTCATCTAGTCCACCCCCCCCCTGCCACTGGGGGGGGGGGACAGCTTCCCCTCGAGCGTGTTGCTTCTTTGGAGGCAGCCCAGGAGACGACTGGCTTCCTGGGCTGCGCGCCCCCACCGCGGGCTCATGCCCCCTTTGTCACCCTCCAGTGTCCCCAAGCCCTCCGCTCTTCTCCGTCCCTTCATCCCCCGGCCCGAGACCTGGGGGGTTGCCCCCACCTCGCCCACGGCCGGGTTGAACCTCACGAGGTTCACGCGGGCCCCGACTTCTCCAGTTCCCTCCGGCGGGCCGACCCCACCGCGCGGGTCGGTGTCGTCTCCAAGCTTGCCGAGGGCGCGCTCGGCACCGCTACGGCGGTGATGGAGACACTCAACGGCGACCGCAACTCACGGGCGCTCCCGAGGCCATTTCTTGGGGTGCCACCACCCCCCCCCCCCCCAACCCCTCCCCACCAGCTCCAGGTCCCGGCCCCACCATGGCCGGGGGGGGGGGGGGGGGTCCGGGTTGAGGTCCCTCGTCTTGCGTTGGCCGCCTCCGGGATGCCGAGCCTCCACCGGCATCTCGCGCCGGGCCGGCCACTTCCCGGCAAACCTGCCGAAAGCCAGAGGGATGCTGGGAAAAGGGGCTTGTCCCCTGCCCCGCCCCGCCCCGCCCCGCCCTGCCCCGCCCTCAGCACCAAGGATGGGCGTGCCCACCTCAGGGTCACCCGAGAAAACCCATCAGCGTCTTCTAAGAGGCTCCGCTTAATTAAACTCCTACCTTCCACCCCTTGCTAATGACTATTAAATCTCTATATTTATGTATAATAGCATATATGTATACTATAACATATATGTATAGATAACATTATATATGAGATTTTAGATAAATATCATATAAAATAATTAAGGTATAAGTCCACAATATAGTATTTATATATTATATCGTACTGGATAAATAACATAATGTGTAAATATATTATATATTTATATAACAGGTAATATGAAGAATATGAATAATGTCTAAATACATTATATAATACTTCTATATTATATAATACTTTTGATATTATTTAGTATAGAAAAGATAATGCATTCTAATGCATGTAATGGATATAATGCGTGTGACATTATAATGCATATTATATATTGCATTTTCAACGCATAAATATTATATATCATGTTATATACAGTATATACATGTTATATATATAACATGATGTATGATATTCTACATTTATAGAATATATTTATTTATTACATATTTGCATTATTCCTATTCAAGTTTACGTTCTTTAATTTGTAGCAGTGCCCACATATTATCCATGTTATATATAATATATACAATATATTTCTCCGTCACACACCCTTCTGTCTAGGAATATGCTGGACTGTCTGTAAATGCGTCTCACGCATGAGCATGATACATAATGTTATCTATAAATATAGGGCAGACTTGTCTCTGGAGGGTCACAAGATATCTAGAAGCGGAACACGCGGGCCCGGAAGCTTTTTCCGTGCTCTCCCTTCCACTCGATGCTACTCGATCTTTTTGGCCCCTGTACCTCCATCCGCTGCCGGGGGGACGGAGATCCCTGCCCCCCCGGGGTCGCCCCCCGCTCCCCCCCCGGCCCCCCGGGAGCGCAGCCCCTCCGAGCGCCGGGGGGGGAGTGGGGAGGGGGGCCGGGGGGGTTGGCTACCAGGGCTGAGAGAAAGAAGCCCCAAGCGAGCGGTGCCACGGCCCCTACCATCGTGCTCTTCGATATAGGGCTTGGGTTTCTTTCTCAATTTGGATTTCTTCTTATTGGTCCTTTCCAGGATCTCTTTAATGTGCTGGGTCACTGGGAAACAAACAAAGCGATGAAGACAAGGGAATGGAACGGAAGGGGGAAAATGAAAACAGCAACGAAACTGGAAATTAAAAAGGAACGGGGAAAATGGTAACGTAAATTTAAAAAAAAAAAAAAAAAAAAAGAAAGAAATTGACTGAAAGTAAAAAGAAAAAAAAAAGAAAACAACTGAAAGTAAAAAGAAAAAAAAATAAATCAATAGACTGAAAGTAAAAAGAAAAAAAAAAGAAATTGACTGAAAGAAAAAAGAAAAAAAAAAAGAAATCAACTGAAAGTAAAAAGAAAAAAAAAGCAATCGACTGAAAGTAAAAAGAAAAAAAAAATCGACTGAAAGTAAAAAGAAAAAAAAAAAAGAAAACAACTGAAAGTAAAAAGAAAAAAAAAAGAAATCAATAGACTGAAAGTAAAAAGAAAAAAAAAAAAAGAAATCGACTGAAAGTAAAAAGAAAAAAAAAAAGAAATTGACTGAAAGTAAAAAGAAAAAAAAAAGAAATCGACTGAAAGTAAAAAGAAAAAAAAAGAAATCGACTGAAAGTAAAAAGAAAAAAAAAATCGACTGAAAGTAAAAAGAAAAAAAAAAAAGAAAACCACTGAAAGTAAAAAGAAAAAAAAAAGAAATCAATAGACTGAAAGTAAAAAGAAAAAAAAAAAAGAAATCGACTGAAAGTAAAAAGAAAAAAAAAAAGAAATTGACTGAAAGTAAAAAGAAAAAAAAAAGAAATCGACTGAAAGTAAAAAGAAAAAAAAAGAAATCGACTGAAAGTAAAAAGAAAAAAAAAATCGACTGAAAGTAAAAAGAAAAAAAAAAAAGAAAACCACTGAAAGTAAAAAGAAAAAAAAAAGAAATCAATAGACTGAAAGTAAAAAGAAAAAAAAAAAAAGAAATCGACTGAAAGTAAAAAGAAAAAAAAAAAAGAAAGCTGGAAGTGAAGCCAGAAAGGAAAATAAGCAAGAACTAACATGAAAAATTAAAATAAAAAACAAACAATGAAGCTGAAAATGAAAATAAGGAAGAACCAAAATGAAAGATGAAAAGAAAAATAAAACAATGAAATGAAACTGAAAAGGAAGCTGGACAGGAAAATAGACAAGAACTAAAGTAAAAATGCAAACAAAAATTGAAAAATGATATGAAACTGAAAATGAAGCTGGAAATGAAGTAGACAAGAACTGAAATGAAAACGGAAATAAAAATTAAAAGAAGAAACTGAAAATGAAGCTGAAAATGAAAACAGACAAGAACTAAAATAAAAATGAAAATAAAAATGAATTACATGAAAAGGAAACGGAAAAAATAAAAATTCAAATAAAAAAATAAGCTGAAAGTAAAAATAAAACATGATAATGAAGCTGAAAATGAAAATTAAACTGAAAAGAAGAATAAAATTTAATAAAATAAAAATAAGTAGAACAAAAATGTAAATAAAAATGAAAAGAAAGTGAAAATGAAAATAAAAATCAAAGGAAAATTAGACTGAAAATAAGAATAAAACTCAGTAAAATAAAACCAAAGCCAAAACGTCGATAAAAATGAAATGCACGTGAAAATGAAAACAAAAGTAAGAACTAAAATTAAACCAATGAGAACGAAATAAATCTGAAATCACATTTAAATTAATGAAAAATGAAAACAACGAATAAAACGCAGCGGGGTGGCGGCTGGCGGGCCGGGCGGCCGAGCTGAGCGCGGGCACGCTGCTGAAGTTGGGGGGCCGGGGGGGCACCCCGGTCGGGGGTGGGGGGGTGTGGGGGGGGTCCCTCTCCCGGCGGAGCGCCGGTTTTCCCGCCGGTGCGCCAAATCCAGCGCGAGCGCGGCGCCGAAATGAGCTTGACACCCCTGTGCCGGCTGCCCGCCCCGTCCCCCCCCCCGCCCTCGGGGGCTTTCCCCGTGGGCGCCTCGGTTGGGTCCCACTCCTGCGTGACCTCCGTGTCCCCCCGGACGTCCCTGCCCCCCCCCCCCCCCCCCCCGGGGACCCGAAAACACCGGGAGCGATTCGGGCTCCATCTCCCGAAGCCGCTTGGCCAACGGCGAAAACCCGGGCGCCCGCCTCTGCCTCCTTCCCCCACCCACCGTGGGATGGCGTCAACCCACGGGACGTGGGGACGCCCAACCCTCCCACCGTGCCGTGGGGAGGCGGGGGGGTGGCCAGTGGGCAGCACCCCAGGGCTACGGGTGGCCACCGCCGAGCCCCACGCCCCGGCCTAGACAGGACCCCAACACCCACGAGAGCACCAGCGGCGAAGGAGCGGGGACGGCCAAGCCCGGGACCGAAGAGGGGCTCCTACAACTCCCACCCATTTGGGGTCAAATTGCCCAAATTTATGTCTCTTCTATCCGCCCTGACCAAAAACCGCCTTGGGAGCTGACGATCAAGCCGCGTCCCCTTCCAGTGTGGGCTTTTTTTTTTTTTTTTTTTTTTTCCTTGATCCAAAGCTCCTTGAGAAGCCAGAATCAGAATTTGGAGATGGTGTTGGTGAAGTCAGAATGGTTGGGGTTGGAAGGAACCTCTAAAGGTGTCCTCATGGGCCAGAAGTCCGAGGACTTCTCGCTTACGGCCACCCCCAGCGGAGGCGAGGCCGAGCCAGCAGCAAAGGTGTCAAAGCTCATTTCGTGGTGGCTCTCACGCCGGATTTCCGTGCGCCGACGAGGGGAGGACGGCGGTAAAGGCGCCACCGTGCTCGCTGCACCTCCGGGAGGGCTGTTGGATGAGTTCCTTGCCCACCTTTCAACAAGGAGACTCACGAATGCGAAGGGGAAAGGAACAAAGGAATAATTATAATAATTAAATGGGTTGCAACATCAACAGGGGCCAGAGCCACCGGGCAGCGGGTTCCCTCTTACCTTTAGTGTCATTCACCGGATCCATGTGCCTGTAAATATATCCTTCTAGGTAGGAATGAAATTTGGGAGTGGGTGGGAAAAAGGCCAAACAAATGGCCATGAGCTCCCAGCCCCGGGCCAGGCTCTCGTAACGGAAGTTCTCGGTGGTCTGCCGGCACAGCTGGATGTAGAGCTCGTCTCTCAGACCCTGCATGCTCCAGCCTTTGGTGGCGATCTCCAAGGCCACGTTGAGCTGGTCCGTCTTGGCCCGCCGGTCCCCCATGTACATCTGAATCAGTTTAAATATCTCGCACGCCTCTTTCTTGACGTTGCGGTCGTTGGTCATGATCATGGGCTTCTTGATGGACTCGCTGCTCCAGGCCAGCATGTTGGCGATGGACACCTTCCTGCGGAAGAGCCCTTGGGTGTGCTTGTTGAAGTGCTTGGAGGCCCAGTTCTCAATGTCCGTCTCCGAGGAGGGCTTCCGCAGGTTGAAGGTGGGGAAGACACAGCTGGCGCTAGGCATCATGTTCCTGGTCTGTCTGCTGCTCTCGAACTGGGCGCAGGCACCGAGATCCTCCGACTAGGTGACAACAGCCAGACAAGTCAATGTTACTGACAGCACGATCGCACCGCCAAAGCAAGCAAGCAGGCGAGCAACAAACCAAGAAAGCAAGCAACCAACAAACCGAGCCGTCAAGCAACCAACTGAACAACCAACCAACCAATCAACAAACCAACCAACAAAGCAAGCAAGCGAGCAAGCGACTAACCAACCAACCATCCAATCAACAAACTAAGCAATCAAGCAACCAACTAACCAACCAACCAACCAATCAATCAACAAACCAATCAAACAACCGAGCAAGCAACCAGCTAACTAAACAACCAATGAACCAATTAACAAACTAACCAATCAACCAACCAACCAACCAATCAATCAACAAACCAATCAAACAACTGAGCAAGCAACCAGCTAACTAAACAACCAATGAACCAATTAACAAACTAACCAATCAACCAACCAACCAACCAATCAATAAACCAACCAATCAGTCAACCAACCAATAAACCAACCAACCAACCAATCAACAAACCAACCAAGCAATCAACCAACAAACCAACCAACCAACCAACCAATAAACCTACCAAATAAGCAATCAACAAATCAACCAACCAATCAACCAACCATCAAACCAATCAATCAATCAATCAATCAAGCAAGCAAGCAAGCAAGCAACCACCAAACCAATCAACCAACAAACTAATCAACAAACCAACCAAGCAACCAACAAACCAATAGACCAACCAACTAACAAACTAACCAACCAACCAATCAATCAATCGACCAATCGATCAATCAACCAACCAACATACCAACCAACCAACCAATCAATCAACAAACCAATCAAACAACCGAGCAAGCAACCAGCTAACTAAACAACCAATGAACCAATCAACAAACTAACCAACCAACCAACCAACAAACCAACCAACCAACCAATCAATAAACCAACCAATCAGTCAACCAACCAATAAACCAACCAACCAACCAATCAACAAAACAACTGACCAACCAATAAACCAACCAACCAACCAACCAATAAACCTATCAAATAAGCAATCAACAAAACAACCAACCAACCAACCAACCAATAAACCTACCAAATAAGCAATCAACAAATCAACCAACCAATCAACCAACCAATCATCAAACCAATCAATCAATCAATCAAGCAAGCAAGCAACCACCAAACCAATCAACCAACAAACTAATCAACAAACCAACCAAGCAACCAACAAACCAATAGACCAACCAACTAACAAACTAACCAACCAACCAATCAATCAATCGACCAACCGATCAATCAACCAACAAACCAACCAACCAACCAATCAACAAACCAATCAAACAACCGAGCAAGCAACCAGCTAACGAAACAACCAATGAACCAATCAACAAACTAACCAACCAACCAATCAACAAACCAACCAACCAACCAATCAATAAACCAACCAATCAGTCAACCAACCAAAAAACCAACCAACCAACCAATCAACAAACCAACCAACTAACCAACCAATCAACCAACAAACCAACCAACCAACCAATAAACCTACCAAAATAAGCAATCAACAAATCAACCAACCAATCAACCAACCAACCATCAAACCAATCAATCAATCAAGCAAGCAAGCAAGCAAGCAACCACCAAACCAATCAACCAACAAACTAATCAACAAACCAACCAACCAACCAACAAACCAATAGACCAACCAACTAACAAACTAACCAACCAACCAATCAATCAATCGACCAACCGATCAATCAACCAACCAACAAACCAATCAACCAACCAACCAACCGTTGCAGCATGAAGAGGTCGCCCCCACGCTCGCCCCCAAAGCTACGTCCTCTCCACGGAGCTGCTCCTCAATCCCATGACGGGCAAGTGGAGCCGGCCTGGTGCCAGCGGCCAAGGAGGGTCGTGGCACCAATCGGCATCAGGAGGGAGGGGACCAGTGGGGATAAGCGAAGCCACCCAAACGCCGACGTGCTGGACTCCCTTCGCGCGTGGCACCCTGGTCACTCAGGCTTTGCAGTCATGGACAGAAGAAGCTGGTGGCTATTAATAACGTGGGGGAAGCAAAGGGCAAGTGGCTTCGGGCTCCACCAGTCCTTCGGCACACCGGGTGGGGGGACGCACTCACCTGTAACCAGCCCCCCAAATAACCTCCTCTCCCCAAAGTCGCGCTCAAGCATGGTTCTCCAGCAGCCACATACCCAGGAGGAGGCTGGTGGCTCCTCCAAGCCTTGAGCAACACGGACGTTGTTTCTTTACATCCCGTGTGCAGAGGGACACAAGCTGCCCAAGATCTAACCTTGCCCGAAGAGCACCCAGTCAGGAAGGACCTCTGCAGAGCGATGGGTACCCCTGTAGACCAGTGCCCTTCTACTACTGGAACCAGAACAGCTCATGGATGAGGAGATGGAGGGACACCCAAAGAGCTGATGCTCAGCATGAAGAAAGGCAAACAAGGACCCTTGGGATGGACCACTCCCGAGCCAACGTGGGTTCATCGTCTGTCACCTCCCTCTTCTGCAAGTGCAATGTCCGGGCCAGCATCACCTGGGTTTGGTGGCCCTGGGGACGTGACCCAGGGCAGGGAATGCCACACCATCTGGAGGGGACGTTGCTGTCCCCACCTTGTGTGGGGGAACCGTGTCGGTGGCCCCGAGCAGGGACCATGTGCAAGGTGACTGCAAGCGGTGCCACGGCTTTGGGGCTGGGCTTTAGACGAGGAACAGAAGAAAAGCAAAAGGCAGAACCAAGGTGGAAAGAACCGGGGCCACGTGGAGGTGGCAAGTCCAGGAGGGGACAAAGAAGCCACCCAAAGACCCACCGGAGCTGCTGGTAGACAACTGAGCTCCTTCTTCAAACAAGTCGTTTCTTGACTCAACAGCTCGTCCCTTCCCAGTGTTGAGGTCTCCTCTTCCCATTGGCGTTGCTCAGCTCCCATCTTGCACCACGGTGACAACGGCAGGGAACTGGCCACGGGGACACAGGAGCTTCGCCTCCCAAGGGATCCAGCCTCACCATTCCTATGAAGGCCACGTCACCTGAAAGGTCCTTTCGTGTCCTCCAACCTGCTGGTCAGCTCTGGTTTACTCCTCTTGTTTCTGCCACATCTTGCTGTCACGGACAACGCGATGACCCTCCACGCAAATCTCCCTGCCAGGGCTGGCCGCAGGTCTGCGCCCACCGCAAGAGGCTTCTGCTTCAACCAATGTCGAAGGTTCTCCAGCTGATGGGGGTGTAGGGAACCCAATTAAAACCACGTGACAATCTCAGCTGTGATCATGGAATGGTTTGGGTTGGGAAGGTACCTTCAAATATCATCTAGTCCAACCCCCCTGCCCTGGGCAGGGACATCTCCCACTAGATCAGGTTGCTCAAAGCCCCGTCCAACCTGGCCTTGAACACTTCCAATGATGAGGCATCCACGACTTCTCTGGGCAACTTGGCCCAGTGTCTCACCCCCTCATCATAAAGAATTTCTTCAGCACGTCCTGTCTAAACTGACGCTCTTTCAGTTCAAAACCGCTGCCCCTTGCCCTGTCACTACAGGCCTTGGCGATGATCATCACCACCAATAAAAGATGAGATTAAATCATCTCCAGACACGGGCAAATCCCTGTTGGAATCTTCACCAACTGTCTGCAGAGTCCAGCCAGGGGACGGTGTAGGCACGGGGTGAGCTTATGAGGTCACACAGATAAATAAACGTGGTCCCATTGGACAACGGGACACTCAAGGTACCAGGCTGGTGAATCCCACCGCCGGGAAAAATTCACGAGGAGCAAAGCAGGTGCTGGGAGCCAATTCCCAGCATGGATGGAGATCTGCTCTTGCTGGAACGGGTGTCCCTCAGCTTGAGGATAAGGTCAGGCAGGGTCAACCAAAAAGAATGCCTGGGCAGTGGATGAGAGCCCCCACCACATCCCAAGCTCCGTGCAGAAGGAATAGGATCACTAATGGTGGCAGCTACACCTCCTGGCCAACGAGAGCATCCAAAGTGCATTTGGAGCTCTCCAGTTTGGGGTCTGAACCTCTTCGCGCCCTTGGGGAGACTTGTCCACGGGGAAGTTTCTTCTGCTGCCCTAGGATGCGACGCCCCACCGGTTTCCCTATATATTCCCATGGGCAAAAAAAAAAAAAAGCATTTTCCAAATTATTTGCTGTTTCCCAGGTCCTTGTCCAGGGTCTTCCTCCTCCTTGCTGATACCAAGCTCCAAGTTTTTCAGGTCGGATTGCTCTCACCAGGGTAACCATCCCCACATACGGGGCTTATCACCAATTTCTAAAAAGCCATTACAGCATTTCCTAGCATCCTCACATCAACCCTTGGTGCACCCAAAAGCAAACCAAGCGGTCCTCGTTCGGCAACGCTTGTCCTCGCCACCCCAGCCCATCTCTGGACTCCTCTGGCCATGGGGACACGGGCAGCATCACCGTCCTCGCCCGGAGTGGGGCACTACAGGTCAGAGGGGCAGACTGGGGGTGTCAGATGCTTGAAGGGAAAGGACATGAAAGCCAGAAGCCAGGAGCTGCTGATGGGGAACATCTGATGGGCTGGAAGATGGACACATGGGATGAGCCAGCTCCAGCAGATCCAACTCAGAGCCCATGGTGGGCAGCAGGAGGGCGACACCATCACAGGAATGGTCCACGGCAGCCCCAGGAGCTCCTCAGGGATGGGAGCTTGGGGCAGGAGGGGTCTCCAGGACAGGACCAGCTCAGTCCCAGGGAGGGGGCAGGCAGCTCAGAGCCCTGGGAAGCAGATCCTGGAAAGCTGGTGTGCTTGTGCCTGTTTCATCCCAATGTTTTTAGGGACAACTTGCTAAAGAGAAGCTTCTTTGAGGGACCAACTTGCTATGGAGCGATTTCTCTGAGGGGCCAGATTGCTGAGGACCAACTTTGAGGGATCAGCTTGCTTAAGGAGCAATTTCTTTGAGGGACCAGCTTACTGAGGTCCAAATATGAGGGACCAGCTTGCTAAGGACCAACTTTGAGGGACCAGCTTGCTTAAGGAGCAATTTCTTTGAGGGACCAGCTTACTGAGGTCCAAATATGAGGGACCAGCTTGCTAAGGACCAACTTTGAGGGACCAGCTTGCTTAAGGAGCAATTTCTTTGAGGGACCAGCTTACTGAGGTCCAAATATGAGCGACCAGCTTGCTAAGGACCAACTTTGAGGGACCAGCTTGATGAGGTCCAAATATGAGGGACCAGCTTGCTGAGGCCCAAATATGAGGGACCAGCTTGCTAAGGACCAACGTTGAGGGACCAGCTTGCTTAAGGAGCAATTTCTTTGAGGGACCAGCTTACTGAGGTCCAAATATGAGGGACCAGCTTGCTAAGGACTAACTTTGAGGGATCAGCTTGCTGAGGACCAACGTTGAGGGACCAGCTTGCTTAAGGAGCAACTTTGAGGGATCAGCTTGCTTAAGGAGCAATTTCTTTGAGGGACCAGCTTGCTGAGGCCCAAATATGAGGGACCAGCTTGATGAGGTCCAAATATGAGGGACCAGCTTGCTAAGGACCAATGTTGAGGGACCAACTTGCTTAAGGAGCAATTTCTTTGAGGGACCAGCTTACTGAGGTCCAAATATGAGGGACCAGCTTGCTAAGGACCAACTTTGAGGGACCAGCTTGATGAGGTCCAAATATGAGGGACCAGCTTGCTAAGGACCAAATATGAGGGACCAGCTTGATGAGGTCCAAACATGAGGGACCAGCTTGCTAAGGACCAAATATGAGGGACGAGCTTGATGAGGTCCAAATATGAGGGACCAGCTTTCTAAGGACCAACTTTGAGGGACCAGCTTGCTTAAGGAGCAATTTCTTTGAGGGATCAGCTTACTGAGGTCCAAATATGAGGGACCAGCTTGCTAAGGACCAAATATGAGGGACCAGCTTGCTAAGGACCAAATATGAGGGACCAGCTTGATGAGGTCCAAATATGAGGGACCAGCTTGCTAAGGACCAATGTTGAGGGACCAACTTGCTTAAGGAGCAATTTCTTTGAGGGACCAGCTTACTGAGGTCCAAATATGAGGGACCAGCTTGCTAAGGACCAACTTTGAGGGACCAGCTTGATGAGGTCCAAATATGAGGGACCAGCTTGATGAGGTCCAAATATGAGGGACCAGCTTGCTAAGGACCAAATATGAGGGACCAGCTTGATGAGGTCCAAACATGAGGGACCAGCTTGCTAAGAACCAACTTTGAGGGACCAGCTTACTGAGGTCCAAATATGAGCGACCAGCTTGCTAAGGACCAAACATGAGGGACCAGCTTGCTAAGGACCAAATATGAGGGACGAGCTTGATGAGGTCCAAATATGAGGGACCAGCTTGCTAAGGACCAATGTTGAGGGACCAACTTGCTTAAGGAGGAATTTCTTTGAGGGATCAGCTTACTGAGGTCCAAATATGAGGGACCAGCTTGCTAAGGACCAACTTTGAGGGACCAGCTTGATGAGGTACAAATATGAGGGACCAGCTTGATGAGGTCCAAATATGAGGGACCAGCTTGCTAAGGACCAAATATGAGGGACCAGCTTGATGAGGTCCAAACATGAGGGACCAGCTTGCTAAGGACCAACTTTGAGGGACCAGCTTACTGAGGTCCAAATATGAGTGACCAGCTTGCTAAGGACCAACGTTGAGGGACCAGCTTGCTTAAGGAGCACCTTCTTTGAGGGACCAGACCGCACAGGACCAGCCAGGGACGGGCGCTCGGGGCTCCCCTGGGAGCTGGGTGGGTGCTCGGGGCGCGGGAGCTGCCTCCAACCGACCAGCAGCGAGACAGAGAGGAGAAGCAGCGGCCGAAGCTGCGGCACAGGGCTGAGGCTACCACGGCGCAGAGGTGACTGTGGAAGCGCGGGATCACCCCGCGGGCCATCCCGCTGGGTCTGCGGCGGAGGCAGGGATTTAAACCGGCCTTAGAAGGAGGAGAAGGAACTTCAACCAGGAGGGTGGCGGGGCCGCCGCGCTGCCACGTGCCCAACCCGGCGCGGCACCCGGGGCGGGCGAGGGTTGGCAGGCGGTGAAGCCCCGCAACGCCGAGGACGTCCCCGAGGGGGTTACCTGAGACGGGTGCAGGTAGGGCTCGGGGGAGGCCAGGTTGGTCTGCACGGAGACGCTCTTCTCCAGCAGGATCTGGGGGAAGCCCAGCTTCTCGAAGGTGTTTCTCTTCCAGTGCTTGTTCTCCTGCTGCGCCAACGCCTCGTCCTCGCTGAAGGCTCGCACCACCGGACCCGGCATGGGCAAGGGGAGGGCACCGTCACTCTCATAGCCTGAACCGTCCTTTTGGGAATCCCAGCTGCTCCGTTGTTTCATGTGGTAGTGGGCTTGCTGGGCTTCCCAAGCCAGGCGCGCCTGCGCCAGGAAGGGCTCGGGGAAGCCCCGTGCCGCCTCCGCCTCCGCCGCCTTGCTCTCCGTACGGTTCATCGGTGACCTGTTGGGTCCCGGGGTGGCTCGTTCCTCACCCAGCTCACCCAACACCTCCCGGTCCCCCGAGCCGTCCGTGGAGGAGGCGTTGGGGTCGTGAGATAGGGAAGGCTTTCGGCTTTTCCTCTTTCTGGTGGAGGGCGAGTAGCCGGTGGAGGACAAGGTGTCCTGTTGGCTGGACCACGACATGGAGTCCTCGCCCTGGGCCACCTGGCCACTTGTTGGGCCAGGGCAGAAGTCGGGCCCCTCCATGCTGCTGTAGTCACCTGATTTGATCTCCAAGCGTTGGTCCCGGACCAGGCAGGGGCTGTGCTGCAGCGAGTAGGAGCCGCCGATGGGGTTGGGGGAGTATTTGTGCCTCAACCCCGTCTTCATCTTGGGGCTGGAGCCCGACTGCTCGACGTAGACCAGTTGCCTGACATACTCCTTGCCGGCGGGGCTGTACTCCAGGCTCATGAAGCGGTCAGGACACTTCTGTTTGGTGAGCACCAACTGCTGGTAGGGCGAGTTGGAGCCTTGCTTGGGCGACTGCAGGAAGGGGTGAGGTTTACGGATGGGCGATTTCTGCGGCGAACCCGCCTTGTAGCTCCCGCTGGCTTCGTACTGCATGTCCACGGGGGGTTCGTCGTAGATGGGAGCCTGGTACTCCATGGGGGGTTCCTCGTAGAGGGGGGGCTCGTAGGCGTAGCGGGGCGAGGAGGGTTGCGACTCGCTGGAGTGCTTGCGGTGCTGGGCTTGGAGGGGGGAGCAGAACGAGTCCCCCCGGCCGAGCAGCGGCGAGCAGCTGCCCACGTGCTCGGCCCTCTTCAAGAAGGGCGACTGCTTCCTCTCCGGGAAGAAGACGGAGTTGTCGGTGTCGGGGGCGAAGGTTTGTAGGTTGGGCGACTGTTGGCCCCCCGAGGGTCGCCGCGAACGGGTGCCCGGTTGGTTTTCGGGGGCGTAGCCATTGCCTTGGTGCATGAGGAAGCTGGGCTCGCGGTCGGTCACCTTGATCAGCATCCGCTCCTTGGTGCCGGCGTTCCATCGCAGGGACGACGTCCTGCGGGGAGAAACACAGCGCCGCCATCAGCGAGCAAAGCTTTCCCCCCACCCCACCCCTCCCCTCCCCACCGTTGCCCACGGATGGACAGACGCCCCCCGTCCCGCAGAGCCCAAAGGATGGACGTGCCCCGAGCACCCCAAGCCTCTCCCATCAGGCGAAGAGCGTCTTGGCGATGGGGAGACCGGGGCATCGCCACCATCCCAAACACAGTGGTGCCGGCCCGCGGCCCTCCCCGGCTCCCACAGACCTCAGCAACCCTCAGGGTGCACGAAGGACGGCGCGGGCTGGGAAGCCAAGCCCCAAAAAGCCATGACACCCCTTGGAGCACATCTCTAGGGGACGGCCCCGAGTCAGCCCTCCCTACTTGTGCCTTGGTGCGAGCAGGAGAGAGCGCAGGCACCCCTTAGGGACACGCCTTGGGGCAGTTTCATGGGTGTTTGGGAACGCAGACCTTGCGGGGATCGGGGACCGACCCCACCGTGGTCCCAACCTGGGGCTGGCCTCTTGCTGGGATCTCCCATCCCAGGGCGAGAAGGAGAAGCCGCCCCACGCACAGCCCCGTCCCTCCCACCTCTTCTTGCTTCCCGTTCCTCACAGCACCAGGATTAACTCAACTACACCCCCCCCCGCCCTCATCCAGCCCCCGCCTGGGATTAACGCCCTCCTCCGGTCCCTAGACGGAGCTGGGTTATGTTAAAACGAGGGAAGAAAAATAATAATCCCAGGCATCCTTTAAAAAGAAGTTGAAGGCAAAAACTTTGAAAACACAACCCCGGACCCGCGCAGAGATGTCTCAGCCCCACAAAACGCGAACCCCCCGTTGCCTTGTACCCCTGGCAGCACCGAGGTGGAGCACGGACGCGCCGGGATGGGGAGGGGAGGGACAACGTAGCCAACTGCCTAACCCCGCGCGACGCACGGACACCTCGGACTGCAAAGGGATGGAGCCCAAGCATCGCAGGAGGTTCGTCTCCAAAAAAAAAAAAACCACCAAACCCCAAAAAACCCCCCCAGCTCTGGATGGGATGAGCATCTCAGCACGGCTGTGAGGATGGGCGTGATGCCCACGGAGAGGCACGAGGGTGCCGGGAGGGGTGGCGGCGGACGCCCACGGCTTCTTTTTCTTGACTCTCAACCTCGGGGCATCCCTCGGCCGCTTCGCAAGCCGCGCGATGACGCTCTGCCCGCTCCCACTGAACGTTTTTCAGCGTGGAGCACCCTACAGCACCGTGCCGTTGCGTGACTTGCCGAGGCCGTGCCTGCACACCCCGAACCCGCACGGCATCGGAGAGCTGGGGGGGAGAGGCGGGGGTGGGACTGCCTGGTGGGGCCCGTTTTTGTCCGCACAACGTGCGTGTGCGAGCGAGTGCCCACAGGGACCTTCTTAATTCTGAGACGTGAGCAAACGTCCCCAAATTGCCACCCAACAGGCAGCTTCTGTGGCAGTCCTGGCGCGAGCAGGGCCGAAAGCCCAGCTGGGCGACGCGCCGAGCGCGCCACGAGCTCACCCGAGCAGGACTCAGCGGAGACCAACAGATCCGCGAGTGAAAAAAACCCAGAGCCTTCACCCTGAGCCAGGAGGAGACCTCCTTCACCTTTACCCAAAGTCCATCTTCTCGTTAAGGCATTTGACAGTCCTGGTGGGTGACGTCTCCTCCAAATGATGACGCATCCCGCAAAGCTGGGTCTCCTGTCACCGATGCTCCGGCAGCACGTCTGCAGGTTCTCCATTTCAACCCTAATTGCAATTTGCAATGAATCAAAGATTTTTTTTTTTTTTTTTAACTCTTTATTAATAATTCACGTCCAGAAATAATTATAATCTCAAGATTGTTTTGGGCCTGCAGGATTAACTCCTCAGGTCTGGGTTGCTGTGCGACCTGGGCAAGGATGGCTGGGCTCCATCTGGGCTGGTCAAACCTTCCCCTCAGGGCTGCTCAGTGTCCTGGGATGAGCAAGAAAGCCCAAGGGATGGGGAGCAACTCAACTCTTCTCAAATGAATCCACTTCTCCTGGAGCAGCTCCGAGCTGGCAGATCACCCACTGTGGAAAAACTGCCCCTCTACAAGAGGGTGGACATCAAGGCTCGGACCAACCCACTGTCTCAAGGTACCACCTCCTCACAAAATAAAGTATCAAATGCTCAGAGGAGCAAAACTTCAGCCAAGCTTGGGTTCCAGCCTTAGACATGTCTACGCTGCTCCAGCCTCAAAGGCAACTATCACTTTATTTGGGACGCTGCCCACCACCTTGCCAGCGTGCTGCTGTCGGATGGCGAGTAGGAGAAAATAATTTCATAACTTCCTCATACACTTGGGCGAGAGCCAGGAAACAGATCTCCCAGCAGTAGGTTGTGACGTTGGAGCTGGGCAGAGATGTTTCCATCCCCGTCCCTCCCCAATCTGCACGCACACCACGGATGTGGTTTGCACCTTGTTCTCCCCCAAAACGTTGGGTGACCTGGTGGGGGGACACACCAACCTTTCTGCTCTGCTCCGTGGAGCCCATTGCTGGGAAATGTGTCCGTTGGGAAGGGCGGGAGCTGGACACCACTGGCTGCAACCCTGTCACCTGGCTCAGGTTTATGCTCCAGGGCTGTCCCAACCCACGGCGTCTCCAGTGGGGGACACGAAGAGCGGGCCCAAGAGCTGGCTCAGGCTTCTGCTTCTGTCCGCACGCAGCACTTGATGGGAAGAGACTCTGGGTTACGGCCAACTCCAGGTGGATCTCTTCAACCTGGTGACCCACAGCTTTTTCATCGATTACGGGTCACTGGAGCCTCTTTTCAGAATGAAATCCCAGAGATGAGGGAGGTCGATGCCCAGAAGAGGGCCTTCCCATCCTTTTTGGCAACATGCACCGTCTTCCGGCGCTCCACGGCCAGTACAGCTCTCCGAGGTCATGCTGAACAACCCACCAGCCTTGGCTCCAGTCCTGGTGCCAAAACACCCCACCTGACGTCTCGCCCCACGCACGCTTCTCACCACTCACCACTCTAGGTGGGTCTCGTGGAACCCGAGAGCTTGGGACAGCTCTCCTTATGCCAAGTTATCCCATTAAATAAGAATTCAACCTTTTGTGGAAGTTTATCTACAGCGAGATCTCCTGCATCGCATCCCGAGGGTCGGAGATGGTTCCTCCTTTCTTCAAGAGGGCAGCAGAGCCGCCAGCTCACGCTGTCTTTCCCACTTCCACCTACTAACGACCACACTTTGGTTTTCCTCTTGGCTACCCCAGTTCTCCCCAGTCTTTTCCACCTTGTCCAAAAGATCGCATGGCCACTGGTTGGGGGGTTCAGCAAGAAGAGGCTCTTCTGCCCCCGTCTGACCCGGCGCAGTGGGGTGCCACATGGATCACTCCGATTAACGGAGGGTTTTTTTCGTCTGCTCAATCCACTTTTCAAGTCCTTGGGAGACGCCGTCCAGGCAGGGGACGCTCAGGAGGACGAGGAGAGGTGGTTTTTTTGGAGGTGCTGAAAGCGTCGCCCGCGGTGCAGGAGGGATCTCAGCTGGTGTTTGCTGCTTCCTCCAAAGCACGGGGAAGCACATTGTGTTATCAATTCCTCACCGAGTCCCACGCTGGCACAGAAGATACCGGAGGCACCGTCTGCTCTCCCAGTTCATTCCTCTCTCATTCTCAGTTATTTTTTTCACAGACACTAGTCCTTCCTGTCCTTCAGAAAAAGGTGGAGTGAGTCCAGTTTTGCAGAAGAATGCCCACAAAGAGGCACATATAAATATCTCCCTACATGAGGCTCCACCATCTCCCGGCACCCTGCTTGTTGCTTGCCCACGACTTTGTCCTCACTCCAGGGGATATGAGGAACAATTTCTTCCTTCCCCTTCTGTAGCAGCCTCTCGAGGTCCTGAGGACTTGAGCCTCCTGCCAGCTTCTTGCCATCAACTACCTGCATGAGTTTGGGTCCCTCCTGACTGGTGGTTGGAGCTCAACCACTCACCGAGCCCTTCCAGAACCCCCAAACTCCCTCCAAAACCGTAGGACCGCGGCATGAGCAGCACAATCGGGGAAAGGTGATGAGGGGAAGCCTTGCTGGGTCAGAAACGGCAAGAAACACTTGGCTGTATCGCCCAGCATCGACAAGTTAAACCAGAGAGTGAGGTGAGAAGATGGATCGGCTCCAGAGATCACCAAGGACCGATTTCACCCCCTTCCTGCTCCACCATTCGCAGGCAGGTTTCCCACCAGCGCTGGGGGCAGCGAGTCCGGAGGCAGCGCGATGCCAGCGGGCATTGAACCCACCAGCAATGAATCACCGTCCCACTGCCACAGGGATGTTAACTGAGGTTTCCTCTCCCTTCACCAATTTTCCGACCGCCCAGGACACTCTTTTATTTCCACTGTGATTACTAGCGGCAGCAATTACGATCTGGGTCGCTGGCCTGCCCTTAATATTCTTCAGCAACCACTCCTGGGTGCAGGCTGTCTCCACGGACATCGTCCTGCTCCTGCCACCCAAACCAGCGAGCTCAAGGTTTGGTTTTCAGGTTGGGAAGCCCAAGGTGCTCGTGCAAGGGTGACGCTGGCTGCTGAACCCACCCTGCGGTACCCAGCGCATCCTTGTCACCTCCCCGCCGGCTCACACCACGGGTCAGGACCACGGTCAAGCAGCCACCACGACAGATGGGGACTTGCATCTTGAGGATGGCAAGCTAGAAGGAGGAGAGGTGAAGAACTGGACCGAGGCTGGGCAGGAACCGGGGAAATCAGACCTGGAGCAACGCGGCGGAGCTGCCGGGTCGCGACACTCCTGCTCATCCCACAGGGGCTGTGGGGCACCGGTCCTGGGTCCCTCACAGGCTTTTTGATGCTTTCAGTGCCGGCTTTCCCATTAAACATAAGCATATATGCAACTGGCAGGCGGACTCTGTGTTTTGGAACATCTCAGGCACCTTCTCTCAGTCCCCGCACTTGGCTTTTATCAGATCCAGTTTCTTTAGCCTTCGGACTACCAAAGCTAAAACCGTGCCAGCTTGATT